CGGGCGAAGGCGCGCAGCACGTGCGGGACGGCCTCGTCCACGGCCACGCGGCGACCCCGCTCGGCGCTCAGCGAGGTCGCGCCTTTGCCCTCCAGGCCGCACGGGACGATGTGGCCGAACCACGCCAAGTCGGTGTCGCAGTTCAGGGCCAGGCCGTGCGACGTCACGTAGCGGGAGCAGCGGATGCCTGAAAGCGCACGCGGCAGGTCAACGGCGGGGGCGCCCCGTCGGAATCCCCCGGGGCGGACCTTACCGATGGCGCAGATCTTGTTGTCTCCGACCCAAACGCCGGTGTGAGGGGACGCCGACGCCTCCACGCCCAGGCCGGCGCACGCCGAAATGGCCGTCTGCTCCAGCTGCGACACGTACCAGCGGACGCTCTGCGCGAGAAGAAGATGAAGACGAGCGTGACGATGACTTCGAGCCGCCGACCGTCGAGCGTTTCTGAACAGACGGCCGCTTTAGGGCACGATTCTTGTCGTTTCAGGGTCGCGAGTCACCGAGTTAACAGTCACGGACGTTTTAGGAGCTGGCTCGGTGGACAAACGAAACGGCCAATCCCAGCAGATTGGCCGTTTTGTGCCAACCTCGCTAATTGTGATGCCATCAGAAAGCAAAAAAAAAACAAAAACGGCCCGTATCCGGCAAAAGCGACGCGGCGCGGCCAGGCGGACCTTCTTGAAAGCGGCCAGGTGCAGCACCGGGTAGCAAAGCAGCTGTCCGGGGCCGTGGAAGGTGATCAGCCCTCCTCGGTCGGCGTTGTGGACCTCCGCCCCCAGCAGGCGCAGGCGCTCCAGCTCGGCGGGGGGGCGCCCCTTCTGCCGGATGCCGGTGGTGTAGACGGGCGGGTGCTGGCACAGCAGCAGGGCGTGGGACGCGCCGGCGCCCGCCCGGCACCGCTGGACGTAGGTCTCCTGGACGCGCAGGGCTTCCCGGTAGGGCAGCAGGCCCAGGCGCACCACCTCCACCAGCGGGCGGGGCCCCTGCGTCGGCATGGCCGTCTCTTCTGTCCCAGCTAACCGGCGAACGCTTCGTCGATGTCCATCGCCCGGCTGGAAAACAGGACGCGCGGAACGCTCCGTTACCGCTTTGGGCCGCGTCTGCGAGAAGGAGCTGCGGACGTGGCGATCGCTGTGAGTTTCAACAGAAAAGCAGACTTTCAACGCCGCGCTTCTTAAAGAAAAACGCTCAGCGGGAATCGGAGATTTCGTGTTGACAGGCGGGCTGAACTTGGACCGACGCAATGATTTGTTGTTCTGCCGTTTGCCTCGCAACGTCAAAACAACCGCGCAAAGTTACACCGATCGTCACCATCCGGGCGCATTTGAAATACGACGAATCGCGACCCATTCGTTGTTGTTTTTTTTTTTTCCAACAATTTGAAACGCACTTCGTTGAAAGCACGACGATCGTTTGACCAAGTTCTGCCCAACGCTCCCGGGCAACTCAAAGGACTTCCTTTTCAAACGGGAAAATGCTTTCATCATTCGCGATTCCGGAGGGCAAAGAAAAGCAAAACAACCGCGCAAAGTTACACCGATCGTCACCACCCGGGCGCATTTGAAATACGACCAATCGCGACCCATTCGTTGATCTTTTTTTTTTTTCAACAATTTGAAACGCACGTCGTTGAAAGCACAACGACGCGGTCCCGCGCGGCATCGTTTGACCAAGTTTTGACCAACATTCCCGGGCAACTCAAAGGACTTCATTTTCAAATGGGAAAACGCTTTCATTCGGGATTCCGGAGGGCAAAGAAAAGGAGAGAGTTGTCGGGAGAGCTTCGTTCCTCGTTCTACCCGTGCAAATACACCCGCCAACATCCACTCGGACCACGACACCCGATCCCAAGTGTTGGGCACCCCTGCTCGAAATTGTCCCGAGGTGCGATGGGGAGCCCCGCGATTGGCTGGCGACCAGTTCAGGGTTGACCCCGCCTGCCGCCCGAGACGAGACTCGTTTATTCCGCAAATGAAGTCATTTGCGAGGCGAGACAACACTGCCTCCTGTTGACAGAAAAGCGAGCGCGACCTCTCGTCCGACCAACAAAACGCAACCAGCCAAACACGATTGAGACCTCCGTGTTTATTCATTTCCCCGTATCATATCGTCAACGTGACGTTTATGTTGGAAGCGTTTTAGTGAGTGTTTCTACCTCCAATTTGTCAAATGAAATTCATCGGACGACTTGAAGAGGGCGCCGCCGTCATCGTCTTCGTCAACATCGTCGTCTTCTTCTTCTTTTTCTTTTTCTTCTTCTTCGCCTTCTTCTTCTTCGTCTTCCTCGTTTAAACTCTTCTTCTTTTTATTCTCCGGTGGCATGTATTAAAAAGACGCTTAACGGCTCACGCGCGACACCAAGTGGTCAGAGACGCCCGTCCTAAACAGTGCATTTGTGACATTTCGCAGTTGAGACCTCCGTGTTTATTCATTTCCCCGTATAATATCATCAACGTGACGTTTATGTTGGAAGCGTTTTAGTGAGTGTTTCTACCTCCAATTTGTCAAATGAAATTCATCGGACGACTTGAAGAGGGCGCCGCCGTCATCGTCTTCGTCAACATCGTCGTCTTCTTCTTCTTCTTCTTCTTCTTCTTCTTTTTCTTCTTCTTCGCTTTTTTCTTCGCCTTCTTCTTCTTCGTCTTCCTCGTTTGAACTCTTCTTCCTTTTATTCTCCGGTGGCATGTATTAAAAAGACGCTTAACGGCTCACGCGCGACACCAAGTGGTCAGAGACGCCCGTCCTAAACAGTGCATTTGTGACATTTCGCAGATGTGTTTCGATTCCGTTTAACTCTTACAAGGTTTTCATTAAATACGCCATTTATAGAAATGTACACCGATTTTTGAGCGTTAAAAAGAACGATTGTTCCGTTTCAGACGAAGAGTGGCTTCACATCCGGTTTAAAAAAAAAACAAATTTCAAGATAAAGTTAAAACCTTCAATCTGAAGTGCATGCATCATGTTCATGAGACTCAAAAATATCCAACGAACGCAGTAAAACGTTGAAACGAACGCAACTAGGAAGGCCTGAAGGGGACGAAAAGGAAAAAAAAATGAACAATTTCTTTTCCGCCCTAATCTTTTTTTTTTTGTTCAGGACTGTGCTCATTTCGGGCGGAGATGGGAAATTCCGGTCCGAGGGCCGGTATCCTGCCCGTTTAGCATCTCTCCCCGATGCAAGACACCTGATTCAGATGTTCAGGATCGTTATCCTGGACACCTTGTTGATTAAATGATGGTTAGAATCGGATGCGCTGCGGCAGGGAGACGTCAACATATCCGGATTACCGGCCCTCGAGGACCGGAGTTAGTCACGCCCGGTTGGGGGCTTCCGTACGAAGATCTACTACTTTTATTGTGAAGGTCCCGCCGTGTTGAGGTCGAGGCTTTTGCGTTGACAACAATCTTTATTGAAAAACCACATTTGACAAGAAAACAAAAGAGAGGATCTAGTCGTTAAAGCATCCTAAAGATGATACAAAAGAGACGCCGGGGTGATTCGAACTAAAATCCCGGAATGAAGCTCACAAGACAAGTGTTGAAAGCGCTTTTTGGAATGCAGGTTGCGAGTTGGAAGCGGTAGTGGAAGGGCGGGGTTTGTTTTGAACGGGAACGCTCGGCAGGAGCGCTCAGTCACCGGGAAGATGGCGGCCGCGGG